TTAAAAAGTAAAGATGTCACTTTGAGGACTAAGGTGGGCCTGACCCAAGCCATGATATTTTCAAATGCCTCATATGCATGCAAAAGCTGGACAAAAAATAAGGAAGACCAGAGAAGAATCGATGCCTTTGAATTATGGTGTTGGTGAAGAATACTGAATATACCATGGGCTACCAGAAGAACAAACGTGTCTTGTCTTGGAATAAATACAGCCAGAGTGCTCCCTGGAAGTGAGGACTGTGAGACTTCGTCTCATGTACTTTGGACATGTTATCAGGAGGGACTAGTGCCTGGAGAAGGACATCATGCTTGGTAAAGTAGAGGGTCAGCAAAAAAGAGGAAAATCCTCAACGAGATGGATTGACACAGTGGCTGCAACAACGGGCTCAAACATAACAACTGTGAGGATGGCGCAGGACCGGGCAGTATTTCGCTCTGTTGTACATGGGGTTGCTTTGAGTCAGAATTGTCTCAATGGCACCTAACAACAACATAAAACAAACAACAACACATGTGAGGAACTGCTTCGTAGTTCAATCATGTATATGAGACCAAATAGGCACACCTGCCCAAAAGCAAAGACGGGGAACCCTGGGTGAAGAAGGGGAGAGTGTTGACAGAACGCGAGGATTGCCACCAATGTCACAAAGCAATGTGTGTGTTAAGTGATGAATGATAAACTAATTTGCTCTGTAAACTTTCATCTAAAAGCACAAAAAAAAAAAAAGAACCAGAGCCAGGACTCAAACGTAGGCCTTCAGACTTGCACTTGCCCCTCAAGGCCGGGCTGCCCACTCCGGGCTTGTGGGGTCTACTAGAACGAATGCGCAAAGAGGGTGGGGACCACATTTGTTAGTCTGAACAGGGACATGGTTACAGATGCCACACATGCAACTGCAAAACCCATAAGAAATCTATCCATTAGTTCTCGGTCTGCGGTTGGACTGCATTAGCATCTGAGATCACTTCAGGACTGCTCAGCCTCTCTCGGCAACCCTGTGCCTCAGTCTGCATTCTGTCAAAATCTCTCTCTTAGGGTACAATCCTTCAAAAACATCGACAAGTCAGAGAAATCTAAAATAAACTTATTTTTAGGAAAACAAAAGGTAACAATGCTACATTTTGCCCACTGTTTCGGGGCTCCCCTTTCAGTGAGGGGGCAGCTGTATTCTATTAGCTAGTCCTCTGGAGGTAAACCACGCAGCCCAGGACTGAAATCCTGAATCCAACTGAAACAACATTAAGCAGGGAGAATGTAATTACCTAGTTTGTAATAGGACTTAAGTTGCCTGCTCCTCTATGGGAATCTCTAGAATATTCCTCACAGGACAGCAGGCAACATTACAGACCCATTAGTACCAATGTAATAGTATCATATTAGTTACCAATGGGATGTAACAGGCAGATAGTGTTGTTCAAACATAGGATGTAAATAGCAAGTGTTCTCAGAGAAACAGCCACATACTCAGTGACCTGTCAAAAATGTAGTTTTAATATAAAAGTCACCTCAGGAACCAGATTACTGAGGGTGTTCTAGTCAGTCTACTGTCCCACCTTTGAGAGAGAGGAGCATTTTTTTATTTCTTGGTAGATTAGACCATTACGGAAAAGCATCCATGGCCCATCAGACATTGTGCTGACTGGAAATCAGGCAGCAGGCCTGAGACACACTGAGCTCTCTTTTGGTCTGATTTCCATTTCCCCTCAAGAACCTAGTGAGTTTATGTTAATGGGGGAGGAACACCTCAGAAAGGAAGGACGAGAATGGTTTTACAACTCTGAAGAATGTAATCAATGTCACTGAATTGTACATGTAGAAATTGTTGAATTGGTGTATGTCCTACTGTGTACATTCTCAACAACAACAACAACAAAAATAAATTATAAAAAAGAAGCTAAAAAAAGACAAAGAAACAAAGAACCAATGCTTTAGAAGGACCACTGTGTGTTCTTACTCAACAGACAGAATCTTTAGAGCACCTAATCTGATGATTCTGAAAGCAGGAACATTAACAAAAGAAAGTAAAAGGGGTAACCAGTTGGCTTTTTATCAAAATTAGCAGGTCAGTCCTCATACAGCCAACATCACACATACATACTGTTTTTTACTTTTTCTTAGTGCACACTATAACACAAAAGCATAAAACTGATCCCACTTGGATAAGTTATTCGGAAATGGCACAAGCCCTTCCATTTTGTGCTGAATCCAGCTGTTGCTAAAAGTTGCTCTCCTAGAGAATGTTTGAGATGACTCCTACAACAGCTACCTCCTGCTCATGTTACTTTGCTCCCTTCTCATGAAAATGCTTTTTTAATTCATGATTTAGTGTCAGTTGTTCCTGACATCCCTTCCCTTCGTTTAAGTCTTCCTGGATCACCCTGATCCACCATTTACAGGTCAGCCTCAGCTTTCTCACCTATAAAATGGGGACTATACTATCTACTTTCCTGGGGATATGAAGATAGTAAAGATGTAAAATTCCTAGCATTTTGTGGCCATGTACCCTTTTGAGACTGACAAAGGTTATGGACTCTATTGCCACTAAATGCACATACACAAAATTTTTAACCATAATTTTTAGGGAGTACAGAATACCTTGAACTCCTATTTGGGAAAAAATTAAACTTAGCTGAACAAATGTTTTTTGAGTGGCTACTATGTGCTACATTTTTGTCTCCTTGTATACTGTGCCTGCTCAGGAACAGGGGCAGGTACATTCAAGACGCAATATCCGGAACCTGTGCAAGCCTCACCTCCTCCACAGCTAACGTCCTGGTCCAAACTACCAGCGTGTCTTCCCTGGGCTGCTGCAGAAGCCTCCTAACTGCTCTCCCTGCTTCCACTCTTGCCTCCTTACGGTCTTATCTCCATGCAGCAGCCATGGATCTGTTACAAACACCACTGCCTGTTCAAAATTCTCCAGTGGTTTCCCATCTCACACAGAATAAAACCCAAGCACCTACGTTAGTCGACAAGAGCCGCCTAGGCCTAAGAGCCTGGCCTCCAGCTTCATCTCCTGTCACTCTCTTTGGCACTTACTTTGCTCCAGCCACACTGGCCTCCTGCCTGCTGCTCCTTGCACAAACCAAGCACACTGCCTGTTCAGGGTCCCTGCACTTGAGGTTCCCTCTCCATGAAACACTCTTTCCTAGATATCTACGTGGCTCACCCCTCACTTCCTGCAGGACTCTGCTAAAATGCCACCTTCTTAGGAGAGGTCTTTCCTACGAACAATCCATCAAAAACAGTGTCCCCTACCCAGTCCTTCACCTGGTTTTGTTTTCCTGCATGACACTCACCAACATCTGACATATTGTACAATAATTTATTTATCGACTAATCAACTGATTATGTTTATCTGTCCTTCAGTAGAATGTAAGGTCCGTTAAAGCAGAAATGTTTTCTTCATGGCACATAATAGACAATATATATGTGTTGAATGAATAAGTAAATGAATGAAATGCATGGATCAATAAATAGGAGTTCAAATTCTCTTCTTCCTATTGTCCTTTAAACCAAAAAAAAAAACCCAAACCTGTTGCTGTCGAGTCAATTCCCACTCATAGCAACCCTACAGGACAGAACAGAACTGTCCCACAGGGTTTCTAATGGTGGATTCGAACTGCTGACCTTTTGGTTTGCAGCCTAGCTCTTAATCACTGTGTCACCAGGGCCCCTTTAAGCACAAGTAATTCTTCCTCCCCTGAACTATGTTTGAACTTGTCTTTGCCAACTGCTTGACTATTCATCATTACTATCTTGTGGAATTTCTTATATTGCTATTCTGAATTACTACAGCTTATCTCCTTTTATTTAACTCTTTACATGCTTATTTATTTTCTCTCAACTGCATCACAAAGCCACGTAAAGAGAATATTACCCCTGTTTTTGTTTTCCTGTTTGGTGATGCACGGTGTCCAGCATTGACTAGGGCTTGACAAATATTTGTTGACTGTTCAACAGTGATATACAATGCTGTTACTTTAAGTGAATAGAAATAAGGTTAAAAATTGTCGCTGATTAGAATGAGATAAATCATAAGCATACTAAAATAATTTCTGTTCCAAAGATGAACCCAAGCAATGTCCCAGCTTATAGGGAAAGAGGAAGGCAAGGGGAAAGAGAGACAATGGCTGCCTCTGAATTCAGACCAGCAACCATCTGCATACTCCCTAACTCCAGGGAAGTTATTCTGTCCCTTTTCCTATTGCCAGACAGGGCAGCGTCTAAAAACTATTTCTGATGCCCAACTCCTAGAAATCCCCATGGCTCAAGCTCAGATATCTGTGCTTTCTAAACACTCTGACACTTGGAAGAATCAATTCCCTGGCATTTTATCTCCATCTCTAAATTCTATCCAACCAGACCAGTAGCTGGTGAGGGACGGAGTTTATGAGATTCAGCTTTGTGCAAGCAGAAGATTGCGTGACTTGACTTAGGCATGAGAAGGCCAGCCCTGCAGACTCTCAAACGTTGGCTAAGCTGTAAGACCAGTTACTTACTAACCGAGCTCCTGGGGAAGTCGCACCGAGTGAGACCAAACCAGAACAAAAACTGAATGTTATTAGGAATCAACACAATGTTAGACAAGGGATTGTTTTCAAGCCAGTCTGACGCAGAAAGTCGATGTTATAAAAGTATCAAGGCTGTACAGTGGGAAACACCTACACGTGCAAAGACAGTGACTGATGGCAAATCTACGCCACCACATAGTGCCAACTGTACTTACTCACACGACAGCGGTAATTTAGAACTCACTCTCAAGCTAGAAAAGAGAGTGTGGTAAGTGGCTCAGGCATTTTGGGTCAAAACAATACAATGTCTTTGTCTCTATGTCTAGGTGTGGCCATTCTGAGATGGCAAACATGTGAACAAAGAAGATTTTATTTCTTTTCTGAATGTCAGGATTGGAAGTCAACCTCTATTCTTATTCTACAAAGAATTCCTAGAAGTCATCTCCAATCTTTGAACAAATATGGGAAGGCTGTAATCCTGCTTACCATGTCTGCTGATGAACCGGATACAGCTTTCTACCACCAGAGGAATTGCCTGGCTGGAATCCTGAAAAGCCAAAGAGAAACACATTAGAATCTTCAAACAGGGGTGACCCAGGGTCAAAGAAAATGAGCCACACTGGGTGGAACTTGTCTCAGCTGGATCAGTGGCCAGTCCACAAAGACACATCCGACCTTTCCTCCAAACTCCACTTACTTGGAATGCCATACACATGCCTCCACCACTTACTTGGAATGCCATACACATGCCTTAAATTCAGTTTATCACAAGCCAAACTGATCATTTGTTATCCCAAACCAGCTCCCCACACCCCAGCCACCCAACCAATCAATAAATTCTGTCAATTTTGTCTTTTAAATCCATTCATGATTCTCTCTAACTCTATTGCCACTGCCCAATCCAAGCCACCAATATCTCAGTCAGCGTTTTCCCATTCCCACCCTTGCTGCCCTCCAATCCACGTTTCTCTTCCCTCACGTGGTGGTTAGGTGATCTTTAAATGCGATTCTCATTGTTTACTCTCTAGGTTCAAATCTTTCAAAGAGTTCTCCTTGCTTTCTTTACACAGCCTGGCCTGGCCTGGACCCTGCCTTTGCCTCCAGTCTCATTTCTTTCCACTCTTCCCACCATCTCTCTGTTACATCCACACTGGCCTTGCTTCTGCTCCTCAGAGAAGTCGTCCTTTGCCTCAGGGCTTTGAACCAGAGGCTCCTGATGTTGAAAGGCTCCTAACCCAGTACTCCCCACCTCTTCTCTAGGCTACTTGTTAGGCATCCTTCAGGTCTTGGTGTAAACATCTGTCCACAGGAGCCCTTTCCCAGACTCCACAAAGGAGATCAGAGCCCCTGTCCACAGGCCCTCAGCACCCTATACTTTGCCTCACAACCCTCATCGCGATGCTAATTAACTGTGTAGATGGAAATATTTGCAATTGTCATCACTCTAGCTCACACTCCACAGGGCAGATCCTATCTATGTCAACTGCTGGGTGTCCAGGGCCAGCCACGACGCCTCTCACATAGCAGGTGGTCAAACGATAGCCACTGAAGGCAGCAGAACGAACTAAGGGGGCTCCACATAGGGAGTTTGCTTGGCATGAAAAGTAGGAAAGAAAAAACAACAAAAACCAACCCTTGGAAACAGAGGAGACTAACGTGTACTAAGCAAAGAAGCAGGCCTCCCTAGTGTCAATCTTTGCTCTGCCATTTTGCTTCTCAAGTCATTTAACTTCTTTGGGCCTCAATCTGTGGTCTACAAACTGAGGAGAAAATTGATGGTGAAGAGAGTACTATTTTCTCTTGGCACATGAAAATGAGTGTTCACCATTTACAGAGGAGTTTATGGAGGTGGGGGGCCGTAGACTAAGTGCTTTAGATGGACCGTCCTGGTAACAAACCCATGGGGTATCTATTATTATCCTCATCTCCCAAACGAGGAAAGGAACACTTAGATGGTCATACGGATGGTACTTGGCAGAGCCAGGACGAAAACCCAGGCGGTCTCCCTCTGAGCACAAACACCTCACCACCACTCACACTGCATCCTAAGACCTTGGCAAATAATGCCTGATATGTACACCAAATATTACTAAAATCTAGCAGGCTTTTATAATGCAGCTAAATGCACAATAATTCAGCCCTGGGGCAGGAGGAAATCAGGCAGAGGCCTGAACCTGCTGGAAGGGACTTCAGATGTTAAGGACAGAGACTGGACTCTCAAGTGGGATGGGTCCTTGCGTGTGCTGCCCATTTCAAAGTCTGCCTGTCTCCCTCTCCTGGCCTTGAATTTCCAACTGTAGCCATGGGGTTTGGCCACTATTACGGAAGCAGCTGGGCCTCATGAGGAAGTCAGGCTGAGAAAAGAGCTACCTTGGCCTCTAGCTCCCAAGCTTGCTGGGAATCAGGGGTGCTGCCTAAGGGATTCTGTGTATGCCCAGGTGGGGCTGGAGCCAAGAGGGCCTCAGTGACTCCAATGCTCACCCTCATGACCCCCAAACCCATCTGCCCCTCCAGCTTTCCAGCCACGGCGGCCAGTGTCCGCCCTTGTGTCAGCATCACCAACTTTGCCAGCCAGCCCAGGGAGGAAGACTCTTGGTTCCTACTCCCCTGCTGTCATGAAGAAACGGGGTTCCACTTCAAGAAAAACAAAAGCCCCACTTTTTGGAAGTCTGCTTATGTTTATAGATGTTCTATTATTATATTTTTCATTTACAAATAGTAGCGGCAATGATGCTGACAACAATATGAGGATTTTTCGTAAAGTTTTGCTGTCTCCAGATTTACACACAAAGACCCAGGAGAAGGTGGCTGGGAAGCTCACTGGCTTCAACACTTCACATGAGAGCAAAATTCTACCTGAATTTGCAGGAAATGGAATATTGATAGTTTTTAAGGGGAAATATGTAGGGCTGCTGGCAGGAAGCAGGGCATCGAAGATATTAACATGCATGTCCCTGGTTGCCACTAGAGGGATACCCTGTGGCAGGCAGGCAGCTGGAGAAGACCTACCCTACTGCAGGAGAGCATTTTCCTAGCTCCCTGCTCCAATGGAGCCCAAGGTGGAGCCCAGTGCAAGCAAAGATTGGACAGTCACTAGGCGCCAGACCCTCCTGCCATCCTCCCCTCTCCCTGTGATGTTTCTAAGCTCTGAACGAATGCCTTTCCCCCAGGATGAACCGATGTGCACCTGTGGTGCCCCTAAAGACCTGCACCTTGCCATCAACTTTGCATACAGCTGACAGAGCAGTTTCTTAATGTGCTTTTACTCACAGGGTCTGTCGCTCCCTCTCTCTCTCCCTTTCCCAATATTAGAACCCATGTCAGTTTAATTCTATTTTTCACAATATTTTTGGTTATATAATTTTAGGGTTGGAAGGGGCCTTTAAGAACAATTAGGCCAAATTCCCATCCAATCAGATTAAGAGTAATGGTGGTTCAGTGGTAGAATTCTTGCCTTCAGTGCAGGAGACCCAGGTTTGATTCCTAGCCAACGCATCTCATGTGCAGTCACCACTTGTCTGTCATTGGAGGCTTATGCGTTGCTATGATGCTGAACAGGTTTCAGCAGAGCTTCTAGACTAAGATGAACTGGAAGAAAGGCCTGGAGATCTACTTCTGAAAAGCAGCCAATAAAAACTCTATGGATCACAATGCTCCAATCTGTAACTGATTATGCAGGACTGGGTAGCACTTCATTCCGTTGTGCACTGGGTTGCCTGAGTCAGGGCTGACTCGACAGCAGCTCACAACAACAACAGACCACAAGTGGGAAGAGCAGCAGGCACGACTTGGAAATTAGAGTAAAGCAGGGGTCCAGTGATTTGCAAGAGAAAACAGTCAGGAAGCACCCAGATAATGCCAGATAATATGCAACTGCTTGGCATCATTTCTCACGAGTGAGAGGGTCAAGGTTTTCGGCATGTACTGGTCTCTATTACACCTGCTAGATTTCTGTTTTCACCGAGGGGAAAAATACAAGTCTTGGCACCTGATTAGATGTATATGGGTGATGAGAAAAAAGAGAGGTTAGAGATAAGATTTGGGACTGTGAAAATTGGGGGGAGGTCCCCATGAACAGAAATAGAGAAGTGAGGGGAGGTGCTAAGAAATTAAAATGTGGTGGGGGAAGGCAAAACACCGATGCTGAGAGCAGAAGGTGCTATTTCACTTTCAAGCATAAATGTCCAGATAGCCTGTTGGGAATTAGATCCAAAGACTTAGAATGACAGAAATACAGACGAAAAGGACGTAAGGGAAGGAGAGAAAGATGTGTCTAAAGGAATACAAGTGACAAGGCCAATAATACGGACAGAAGTCAAGAGAGGGCCAAGTCTTGGAAAAATGGCTGAATTCAGAGGAGTGGAGAAAGAGGGACCAGAAAAGGAGACATGGAAGTAATGGTCTGGAGAGAGGAAATGCTGGAACTGGAAGGGAACAGGGAAGGTCTAGAAGCAACAATCCAGGTGTTTCTTTTTAAAGAAAGACCAGGTATGTTTTAAACCTAGTCTCTGCTGGGGTCAAAAATGACTGGAACCCTCAGGGAGCCTCAAAAATAAAAGTTACCAGCTTCTTCCTCTTGTTTAGCTGAATTGCCATAAACAAGCATTTATCTCCTGATTACTTACACAAGATTAGTAATCTCCCAAATTACTTACCTCTCTGCCCTCCTGTCTGAGGATCTCTGCTGATCCACCATTAGCTTTGAGCTACTGGTGAGAAAATGGGGCAGCAGAATGAAAACAAGGTCTTTATCTGATGGAGGTTTTTGGTGTATCCTGGAACTCTTATGCAAATCTAGCACCAGGCAAATACGCTTTGCTTGCAACTGCTTAGGAGCAGCAGGATGCAAACTAGATGGGTGCCGTGCCCCTCTGATGGCGAGCCCAACCAGGGGAGCACAGCCCCTGCCAGCCCGAGCTACCCGGCTCCCATCCCCAAACCAAGGACTCGGCATCCCTGCAGCCAGAGCAGAGGCTGCAAAGCCCTCACACATATGCTCCATCTATGAGCAGGGGGCCCCATTTCAATCTAGGACAGAAAGGAACCAGCTTCAAGTCCAGTTCTGTTCTTTGAAGAAAAGGTGAAAAGGCTTGCTTCATCTTCAAGATACTCCACCTCTTAATTCTAAATTCAATGAATTATACCTGCAAGGCACTCTATTCCTCTCTAATTTTAAATGAAATTAAGGGAGAAAGGGGAAGAAGAAGGAAATAGAGGACCAAGAGGAAGGAGAGTTACAATGAAATTTTTATGATGTAAAAAATGTGGGATTGTATCAGACGATGTTCTCACTAAAATGAGATCTGCAGTAGAGAGGAAAAAAATAGTGACAGCAATAGGAAGACAAGCAGTGTCTATGCCATCCCAGTTCCCCAGCTGGACTGCCCACCCAGCCTGAGCAGCCAGATCAGCTGAAAAGACTTCTGGATTTGCTGACACCACAGAAACCTCGTGTCCTCTACATTCGATTTTCTCTCTACGGCCAGAGCTACTGTGAAGTATCCGAGATGATTTTTTAAAGCCTTGATCAGCTTTCCCCTGGTAGACACAAAGAGATTTCTGAGTTTTCTCCACCCGCTCCCTGCTAACTGCGTACTGGTTAACTGGTGTGAGCTTAGGGGACACAAAATCGTTTCAGTATTTCCTATAAAGTATAATTAGAAACTCAAATCTGCCATTGCAAAATAATACTTCAATTAGTCTTTTTTTAAACAAGCACAAGTGCTGTTGAGATTGCCCACTGATGTAGATTTCCCACCCACTGCTCGCTCCGGTCCCCTGACAGGGCGATGAGAGCTGCTGCCCGGGTCAGATTCTAATACAACACTGAAGAGCGCATGCAAAACTGCAGACTTCCACAGCTCTCGCCTACCACCCCTACGCCAGACTTCCCTTCGCATATTTAGCATGTGTTAGGAATACATCTAGAATGACCACAGCATCAGAAACAAAGAAACATGCAAACATCTGCAAACTTAGAACAAGACCGCCCAGTTCAGATGTAAGTTGCTGAGAGACACTGGCATATGGGTACAGAAACAGAAGAGTGAGGATGTCGCCTGGTCTCTTTGAGAGGTGATACCATGAGTAGTTTCTGGCACAATTTGCCACAGTCAAAACCAATCCCCTAGTAGGACGTCTACACCAAGAAGTTGCTATATTAAACACACTATGCCTAAACGGAACATTTCAAACTCAGGTATGAAGTTAGAAAAGTGCCTGTTGTGATGGTTAAGGCTGTGTGTCAGCTTGGCTGGGCCATGATTCGCAGTGGTCTGGTAGTTATGTAATGATGTAATTTGGCCGTTATGTAACGATGTAGTTATCCTCCATTTTGTGATATAATGTAGTCACCTCCATGATGTGATCTGATATAATCAGCCATCAGTTGTAAGGGTAGTTTCCTTTGGGGTGTGGCCTGCATCCAATATATATGGACGTTCTGGCAAAGCTTGCTGGCTTTTGCTTGCTCTAGATCTTGCATCCATCTGGTCATCACCTGACCTCCAGTTCTTGAGACTCCAGCCTGCCGTACTGCCTGTAGATTTTGGATTCATCACCCTCCGCGGCCCATGAGCCAGCAGCTTGCTGTCTGATCTGCCAATTTTGGGTTCATCGGCCCCTGCAGCTATGTGAGTCAGGAGAAGCCTCCAGCCTGACGCCTGACACCTGACACACAGACTTGGGACTTGTCAGCCTCTACAACCACATGACCCATTTCCTTGAGATAAACTTCTCTCTCTCTCTACATACATATATATATACATGTATACGCTGTACTGGTTTTGCTTCTCTTGAGAACCCAGCCTAAGACATCCATCCTGCCCAAAGTGGAGTTCCATCAATGTCTGCAGGATGCAACTGATGGTCCAGCTAGACCAGCTGGCTCTTGCTGGGCCCTTACCTGTTTCCTCACGGTTGAGCTACGCCTGCGGTTGACCCCGCCGAATCAGAGAGGACCAATCCAGAAGCAGGGAGGAAAAAGAGAAAATGGGGACAGAATGAGACAAACAACCACTCTGAAACCCAGAAGTAAAATATCTTTTTTTCCCTAAATTTTATTTATTTTGTTATTGTTGTTGAAAATATACACAGCAAAACATATACCAATTCAAGGGTTTCTACATGTACAGTTTAGTGACATTGATTACATTCTTCCAGTTGTGCAACCATTCTCACCCTCCTTTTCTGAGTTGTTCCTCCCCCATTAACATAACTCACTGCCCAATAAGGTTGCTATCTAATCTTTCGAGTTGCTCTTGTCAATTTGAGCAAAATATCTTTTTAATAATTAAAAAATAATCCATTGGTTGATGAAACAAATCACATTATTCAGCTCAGACCTAGAAATGGCTAAAAAGACTTGCTAATTTATTTCCCAAATAAAGTCCCAATAAAGCTCTTATGCGCAGTGGCCCCTACTTTTAATGACTACCACCATTCAAAATAAGGAATAGGAGGCAGTTGGTCCAACTTGCAGTAAGGTATATCTGTGTTAGACAATAAGATGTTTTTCAAGCTGCGTTTAGCCTCAGGAGCCTTTTCTCAGAGGGAATCTGAGTCAGAGGGACAATACCAAAAGCAAGTAGAGCAGTGCTGCCCAGCTCAGAGTGCAGGTAGGGACTAGAGGCTGGCTACTGGGCCTCCACCAGACCACTCCTGAGGAACTTCTTTGCAGCCCTAGGTTTCCTAGGTCTAGAGTAATCCTCTGGTCTTATAGATGAGGAAACTGGGGTTCAGAGAGGGGAAGAGAGCTGTCCAAGGTCAACAGTGACAGGGAATTCAAGTCAGCTCTTCTAATTCCCACAGGGTCCTCTGCAGATATAGGGCTTCAGGTGAACTTATATTAAGACTCCGTCACCAAGAAGATACATTCCATGGAATTACATTATCTTGGCTTCCTCCAGCCATTGACTGGCATATTAATGGGTTCTTTACTGTAATCCACAATTACAAAACGATGAAAGTCAGATGAAGCTATTTCTAAATAATGAGCCTATAATTGTAAATGGCCTCATGATTATTGTGTGTGTTGGCGGATATAAGTCATTGATATAATGGGCTAACCCAGGGTCTCAAAGGAGTCCAGCCCATTAAAGCTCTTTCCTCAGTTAAATAGGCACATTTTTAGGCATCAGAGAGCTGTTGGCTGCATGAATGCTTTGCTCTTCGCCAGCTCACAGTTTTCTCACAGCAGCACAGTGACTGGGAGGGAAAAATATTTGGCTGGGGTCGGGGAGGGAGGAGAAGGTGGGAAAGGATTGGGAGGGTTGCGTACTTGTTCGTCAGGCAAGGATTTCTACCAATGTTGTTTGGCAAGCTAATGTGATATATTTCATTATCCAGCAATAGTCACTAATTAGGGCCTGTCACCTTTTCCACACATTAAACAAAAAAAATCTCAGATCAAATGCTTTTTCCTTCTCTGGGTCAGAGACTCTCCAAAGCCCACATGCTGAAGTCTAGCAGCTCAGGTTAGGTTACCAGAGTCTTCCAGAATCAAACATTTATTTCCCTTGCAATGTAGTAGCTTTTGGGAGTCTCAGGGACTATTTCAGTAAGTGATAACACCCTTCCCTCAGTTCTGCTCAGCTCACAGCACATTCTATTTCCATTTGAGACAGATAGGGTCAGCAAGGCAGAGGGAAGGCAGCAGCCCTTGCCCCAGGCCACGCCTTTGCAAAGTCACTGAAAGCCTTTACAACCCAACTTCTTGGCTCTTTCCCAGGCTGGCATCACTCTACCCATGGTCCTCCCATCGTCATCCCTTTCCAGGGCTGCCAGGCCACACCTACCTGGCCAGACTGCAATCTGTCCGCTGACCTGTTGGGAAAACAAAGGCAAAAAGCACATGTTGAAGCAGAAGGGGCGAATGAGGGATACCTGCTCCTAAGAATTACCATGCCCTGCCCTAATTCCCAGAGTCCCTGGGTGGTACCAACGGCCAATGCCCTCGGCCACTAGCCAAAAGGTTAGAGGTTCAAGTTCACCCAGAGGTGCCTCAGAAGAAAGGCCTGGCGATCTACTTCGTAAAATTCAGCCATTGAAAATCCTATGGAGTGCAGTTCTACTCTGACACACATGGTGTTGCCATGAGTCAGAGTCAACTTGACAGCAACTGCTAAGTAGTAGGTAGTAGGCCCTACTTTCCAGAGAACCACTAATGTAACAACACATCAGGCCTTCCAGGCCAAAATGAAGAGAAGTGCACACAGCCTCTTTCTGGGCAAGTACTGTTTCTGATGCTGGTTCCTAGCCCACTAGCCCTGTATTTAGGGCTGCCAACTCTGCTTCCCAGTGGGAAAACTGCGGTGGAGGTGAAGGAACAATAAACAACAACAAGGCAGATCATGTTTTACAGAACAAGTTCTTAGAAGGCTTCTTAGAGATGAAACCCAGCTTTTCATATGTATATATACATATGTCGGGTGTGTGCATATGGTGAGGAGGGGAGGGATAAGCTTGCTTGTTCCTGAGTGTATAAAAACAGACAGACACACACACACACACACACACATACAATTGGAAGAAAGAAACGAGTTGTTTGGGGGTGGGGAAGTAGAAGACATGTATGTTCTAGCTTTAGATTCATGCTAAACTCTCCTGTTAGGTTGGGATGGTGTGGCAAGAGCTGAGATTTAAGGCTGATACTACTTCAAAGTATGGTTCTCAGCTCAATAGCTAGCCTGAATATTATATTAAATGGGTCATAACCAGCTCTTAAAAAATGGAAGAACCATTAAAATTTGTAAGAAGTATTCTTGTCTTTTAAAGACACATAATGCATGTAATGTACAATACGATGCTTTCTGTGCGTCCACGGTCAACGGAGCTAATCTGTATTAAACTTACATTAGATAGCCAGGGAAAAACCCATGCAGGGCTGAGCTGGGGAAGGAGAGATTAACTCCACACCCCTCGTCCAAGCTCCCGGAAAAGCAACCCCAAGGAGCAGGGGTGGCTAGGGGAGGGCAGTGCTTTTTCTTGCCTTTAAAGGTTGTTAATTGTTGATTACAGTTCAGTTCATCTCGAACAACACCCTCCCCCAGTCCCAACAGCTTCTCATTACCAAATGCTAAGCTTTCATATGCAAGAATATTATTCTGAGCCATTATTTTCAACATCTGTCCCATTTGCATTCTGGAATATTCATACACATCAATTATCCCTCTGTGGCAAGAACAAGGGGCTCTTGCATTATGGTGACAAATATACACAGAAGGCTGGGACACGATGACTTGCACACAGGAAGATTTGCAGTGAATTTTCCTCCTATTGCTGGAACTTGTCATCTTTAGATTAACGCAATTTGCAGCAGTAATGAATGGTCAACAACATTCGCCCCCCCACAGTAATACATTTGGTGCATGTATGTGCATGTGCATCCACATCCCCCCCCACCCCACACACACGAGGCCCTGCTTCCAGGCTACTTATGGACTATGCTTAGATTTTCTTGACAAAAGGAAATCACAGTTATAACTTGCTTCAAATACTTCTGCACTTTCCTTCGATTCCCCACGGAGCAGTCTGATAACCCAAGAGGAAAGATTTTCTACAAGCGAAGTTTGGACCTCAATGTCCAAATTTGTTCCACCTGACTGAGTCCCTTGGGTGGTGGGGAGGAAAGAGAACAGGAGTTACCTAACAGGCTTTCTCCATATAAAAGAAAATGCATTAAAAATCACAAGATCAAAGACATTAGGAGAAAAAGAACTAATCATTTGCGGGACTTGTCCGGGGCAGGAGAAGGGTGGGTAGGAGGCCCTGGTATGAAAAGTGGAGCTCTGATTCCTGGGGCCAATGAGCCAGTGAGCACTGCACACTTTCCTACACCCGCAGTTTCCCTCAGAGTGCTCAAGAATTTACCTCAAAATGCTAGACCTCTGCGCGGGTGCAAGTTTGCCTTTTACTCATGTTACCGTATATTCCCTGGTGTCCTCCTTCCCATCTTTAAGTCAGGAGATTAGCAGGGCAGGGAAGAGGAATCCCTGACCTGGGAATCCCATTAATCATAGGATGCTGAGAGCTAGGCAGGAGATCTGGGCAGGGTGCCAATAAACCCTGGGGAAACTTCTCTTTTAACCTTCTCGTTCTGTTTGACAGCTGAGGAGAGAAAAGCCAGAGTGCCAGTCCAGTTCTCTGCCTCGCTACTTTCCAGGATCTGGTTAAAATCATCCTACCAGACGAGACGAGACAGTTCATTCAGCACCACGGCTTCAGCAGGGCCCAAGCAGAGAGGGCTGCCACTTCACCAGCATCAGGACCCCTTAGGGCAGAAGGGAACCAACGCTCTACCTTGAAGCTTCAGAAAGCAGGAGTCTGTTCATCACCCTTGCCTTTGAGAATCCTTGCCTCTCCTCGGGTAGCTGGTAGCTCATCTCACAGCTCCCTACCTTCTGGCTGCAGCCTCAGTCCTGCCACAGAGGAACTGGGGGTTCTATCACAGTGTCAGGAGAGTAAATAACCCATCAGCCCCTTCACCCTAATTGTGGCAGAGGAGGTGGAGAGGGGCCCGGCTGGGGAGCAGGCACGCTCCATTTAAACAAATGGATGATGCACATTAGTGCTTCATTAAGCACTGACCTCTTCTCATTACCCAAGCAGTAATTTGGGGCATGTGCTCCCACATCAAACAAGCTAGGAAAAGAAATATATTCATCTAACAAGCTCAGGCCCACTGGGCTTACGATGGAGGTGTGTGTTCAGCAATAAAGCTCAGGGCTCAGCCTTCACCTCTCTGCCAAACCTCCAGCAGAGTTCCCACACTCACTTTCTCCCAGGGTTTTCTGGAGCAGGTCGTGCTTGGCTTGTAACTTGGTGATGAGGTTCCTGCCCTCCAGGTACTCCTTCATTTTCTGTAAGGGAGGAGAATGAGAAAGAGCAATCAGACTCCTGAAGAAAAAAAAAGAAAGAAAAGAAAAAAAAACAAAAAAAAAAAAACCCAAAAAATCACAGCTGCTCAGATCTACAATTCCTTTTTTAGGAGGTCATTCAGTTTCTGGTCCAATTTCCATCAGGTCCATTTTTAATTTCTTTAGGCCCTGAGCATCTGGGAAACGGCTGATTTTTATAGTGGATAAGTATTCTGCTCTATGTTTTTCTGAGAGCTCCATGTTGGCCAGTGTAAAAAATTGTCTTCTAGAGCCCGTTATTCACGTCCTTCGGTTCTACTGATGACGAGAATGGAGGGTTGATGGGCTCACTGAGCCTGTCTTCTCGGTGTAAGGACACACACCTGCCACCTGTCCCCTCCACTGACATCCAGCCTCACCCTGGTCCCTCCCAGCATGCTTTCCTGCACACCAGGAGCAAGGTCAATGACAGGCTCAGTTCCTGCCTCAGCTGTAAGGCTGGCATGTACAGTGGTGTCATCTTTGTCCTGGGCATATACTAATCAGCCTCTTACTCTATTCTGCATTGAGTCTTTACGGAAAGTGTGGGATTTCTAAGCACTCAGAGGAAGGGGCTGCCACCCCGCACTTGCATACACACACGCTCACAGTTCCAGACACAGATGAGGTTATTTATGGAAATGCGATCCTATCTGCTTCAATGATCAAAATAAGATTGCTGTGCTACAGTTCCTGATTTGACTGTTCCCAACTCTAGTCTGCTCAGTGAGTCTCTACTGTATTTCCCCAGATGAAAATTCATCAGATCTTCCAAATGATAATAATATTATCTTTATCCCCATTTTACAGACAAGGACACTGAGGCTTAGAGAAATTAAGTAAGTTCCTCAAGATCAAGCAGCTAGTGAGTGGTGGAGCCATATTTAAACATATACAGTTGTACAACACAGCACATGCTCTTAACCATTATGATAAAATGCTTGACCAATTATGGTACAGTGCAGGAGAAGGAGAGAAGCAGAAACTTTATGGTATTAATATTTATATAAGTGTAGCAATTCACAGTTTTTAAAACACTTTAGGAGGCCCTGTGTGGTACAAAGCGTTAAGCACTTGACTGCTAAATGAAAGGTTGGTAGTTTAAACTGTGAAACAGCCTCTAAAAATCTAGGTGCTTGGCCTAAGGAGAGGCTTCTGCAAAAGATGTAGGCCGGACTCCATTTTATTGTTCACTGCCCATTCTGAGCTGACTCTCAAAAGTCAGCGAGCCAGAATACCTCAGGAAGCCTGCAGGCTCCCTGCCCCTCCTTTCCTCTCACAGCATGCTCCCAGGAAGGATACTTACTCAGGCTGGCTCCAAAGTATCCATAGACTAACAAGATGTTAACTTACTCAAACTTTACAATGGACAAAACAATGCATAAGAGGTCTCATAATGGGCTAGCGTCTGTTAAAGCATGAATTTGTAAATGTTGACCAATCAGAATTTTTCCTTGTAAGTTCTTGAATTTTCTGTACTTAAACTCTATGAAAAATTCCTTTCACTGGAGTACTTTGGTGAATTCTCACTAAGTGCTGCCCAATCTGGATCGCTCTATACTTTCAATAAAACTCTCTAATTTTAACAGAGATCTCAGTTTGCTCTTTGACATTTCTTGAAGTCAGAATAGTGGGATTTGAAGGTGCCTTATCTTCAGTGACCCTGAGAGCCCACTGAACTCATCTGTCTCCACAGACTCTTGGGAATTGCTAAGGTAAGCCCTCTTGAATTTTGAGCTCCACTTTCTTGTGTCGAGCTTTTTGAGACTTATTGAAGGATTCTGGTTTTGTTTTTTCCTTGTCTGTTTCATTTTGTCTTGTCTGTTTTCATTCTGGTCTTGCTACAATTTTTGCCTCCACTAGTGGCAGTAGTGTGAGGTTCTGGGCAACTTATTGGGCAAGTTTTCAAGTTTGTGAAATCTTGTTCCATAAGATTTTGTTTAGTGTGAGAGTCCTAAACTTTGAACAAAAATCAAAATTTCTTTGAAAATGGGAAATGCCATATCCAGGGGCAATATGGAATTCCCTTCTGGGACTCCTGCCCAATATATAGACAAGCACCATGGCTCTGCCACCTGTTTGTACCTAGCTGCTTGGCATAACCTTACTAAGGATAGTCTGGACAATATGTGGCCATTTTGGAGTTCTTCTGAATTATCTAAATTGAGTTTTCTGCACAGTAAATTAGAAAAGAAAGGCTCCTGAATTAAGCAGAAACAATGGGATGCCTATTTTAATTGGTATTTTGAAGCATCCAGAAGACATGTGAGAGTCAAATCGCTTCACTGCAGGAAAATGTTTCTAAATTAACTAAACAAAATAAGGAATTGCAATGCCAGATTTCTGTTCGAACTACCCAAGTTGTCCTGGGACCGACTGCTCCTTTGCCAGTTGCCTCTCCTTTGTATCCTTCTCTGCTTTCTTGCTTCTCTGATATTACTAAAGATTCCTCTAATAACGCTTTGTCCAAACTCCCTTTTTTCTCCAAAGAACCTACTGGAAACATAAAGCCTACTCCCAAAATGCCTTTTAAAGTCTGTCCCAGTGTGGATGTTGAGGATCCTCTCCACATTACTTTTACCCCATGGACATGCTCAGAATTACATAAACTTGTTAAAGATTTCCCAAAACTGCAGAAAGACCCTTACAAGCTTACTGAGGAATTTAGAATCCTTGTTGAGGCTTACCAGCCTGGATTCCCTGATTTGTATCAATTGGTCCCATGATAACTGGGCCAGGGTAGGCCTAATTGTGGTTAGAACAGACTGAATGGAGAAATTTCAAAGATAGCCTACCTCTAGATCTGAATAGAACACCTACCTAACTGTTAGAAGACTCTCAGGCTATCAGTAAAAGATTGCTAGAGGCCATTCCAAAGGCTTTTCCTCCAATAATAGATTGGACAAAAATTCACTCTTGCATAAAAAACAAAGATGAAATTGTTTATGATTACCAGACTAAATGATTTCAAAGGTTTGCTGAACATTCTGGGATTGATGCATCATCCCCTGGGGCTACAGAAGCTTTTAATGCAGTATTCTTATCAGGGTTCAAACCTGAACTTTCTGCCTTACTAAAAAGGCATTGGTTAGATTGGAAGCCAGCTCCCATTGCTGAGCTGGCCAGTTTAGCTCATGAACTTTCTCAGACCTTGGAGACTAAACAGATGTCCAAGGTAAATAAATTAATGGCCTTACAACTCCAACAATTACAGTCTCCTAACCAGAAAAATAAATCCAAGCCCTCTGGAGGCACTAAATCCGGAACTTGCAATTATTGCAAAAAATTCGAACATTGGACAAAAGACTGCTATAAGTTAAAGAACAACCAAAAGAAAAAGTCCAAACAAGAGACCCTTCAGTCAGATATGGAATGAAGGGGCTCCAGGGAGAAAACAGGGGCCTTTCCTTTTGTGGTATTAAATACGTAAAGACAGACTACCATGCATATTAATGGAGAATCTTGCAAATTTTTAATTGACACTAGAGTAACACTGTCTGCAATTAACCCCACATGTTTCAAAAGCCTCTGCCCCAGAGTACTAAAACTACAAAAACTGTGGGGGTTACAAATTAAGAACAAAGTTTAATTCATTCAAAACCTGTTCCTATTTCCCTTGGCCCTATGAAGATTTACATTCCTTTCTGCTTAGCCCTGACACTCCTGTTAATTTGTTGGGATGCGACTTTTTGTCTAAATGGGTCTATCATTTACAATTTTCAGAAAAAGGAGAAATATTATTAAGCCCGCCAGATCCCCTGAAAACCTCTAATGAGGGATGTGAATCAGAAGTAATTCAAGGGGAAGGAGTTGCTTGCTGGTTGCAAGTATTAGTCATGCACAAAGATAATTTAACCTCCTCTAACCCATTTCCCTCTGAACTTTTCTCATTAATTCCTGAAACCTTATGGGCCACCATACATACTGATGTGGGGTGAGTCTTATCAGCAGAACCCATTAAACATTCAGGTAGACACCTCCTAGCTTTTACAAACACTCCCTCAATACCCTCTTAAATGAGAAGCTAAAGAAGGATTAGCCCCTATTATCCAGGACTTCCTTTCTAAAGGATTAACTGTTTTCTGCACCAGCCATTGTAACACCTCTGTACTCCCTGTTAAGAAACCTAACAAGAGGCTGGAAGTTTGTTTGGGATTTGCAGGCTATCAACCACATTGTTATTCCTAGATTTCCAGAAGCTCCAAATTCTCATTTACTACTTTCTAATGCATCTCCAGATGCTATACATTCTTACTGTAATTGATCTTTGTAGTGTTTTTTTCTGCATTCCTGTACATCCTCGGAGCCAGTATTTGTTTTCCTTGGGAGAATCAACAATTTACCTGGACTGTGATGTTCCAGGGTTTTATCAAATCTCCCACTTACTTTTCTCAAATCTTACATGTGGATTTACAAGCCGCAAATGTCGATGATCTACCGGTATGTTCACCTCACAACAGGCTTGCCTTGAAAATAGTATAATCTTGTTAAAACATTTAGCTTCCAGAGGGCATAAAGTTTCTAAAGAAAAACTACAATTGGCCTAGGCTTCTGTTAAGTATTTAGGTCATTTGATTTCTGTAGAAGGCCATTTCTATTGATCCTAAGTGGAAAGAAACTATTTTTGCTTTTCTTATCCCCCAAACCAAGAAACAACTATGTGGGTTTCTAGGGCTTTGAGGCTACTGTAGAACTTGGATTCCAAATTCCTCCTTGTTGTCTCAGCCCCTATATAAATATTTAAAGACCTCCAAACCAGATTCCTTTCAAATTGCACTGGAGGATCAGAAAGTTGTAACTAAACTGAAAGAAGTTCTAAAAACTACACCTGCACTTGGCTTTCCTATCACCTAGATTTTTCTCTGTTTATACATGAAGCTTTTGGGAATGCTTTAGGAGTTTTAACTCAGAACCATGGAGAACATCAGAGGCCAATAGTCTATTACAGTCTGCAGTTTAACCCT